AAACAGAAGTCCAGGGCAGACCAGGCACCAGATCTAGGGAGGTACGGAGAGTGACCTGCTTGGGACCCAGGAACTAGGTAGCACATGGGGATAGCATAAGGAGACCCTAGAGGACAACAGCTTCACCAATAAAATGAAAATATTTGTTCTATTTAGAAAAGGAGGCAACTTGGTCATGTCTCTCAATTCATCAACCATACAATCTGTCCTTTAATGCCTTGTTATAATGAAATGGTTTTTTCTTCCCTAAGCAAATTCAGTCATGCCACCTTCTGAGTAAGGTTTGTGTCCTACCACAGTTTCTTTGATACCATTTGAAGAATAATTAGAAAAAGGATTTGGAAACAAGAAATGGAACATTTCTTGAGTATTACCTAATTCTAGGCCTGATACTAAGCACTTTAACTAAAACCCCTTTGAAGTATTCTTCATTTTGCCAACTCACTCATGTGGAAATTGAGGCTAAGAGGTCCCCACCATAAATCCCACACAATGAAGCTGGGATTCAAACTCAGGCCTAATTCAAAACTTGGTGCCCTTTTATGCTAACATGGCACCTGCCCTAAGTGACATGTTAGAGGTAACTTAGCCCGGGTCTTAGTGACAGAGGAAGAGGAGGAGGAAAGAGAAGTAGCTGCTGGGGCATTTCTTCAGAGAAATCCTTTTGAATGGTCAAGAAACAGAGTTTTTCCCAGGCTTTAAAGTTGTTACAAATGATGGCTATGTTTTAGAAGGTGGCAGTGTGGCACTTTCTCTGATCGTGTTTTGAGGGGAAGTTTCCCCTGGGGATTTATAATACTAAGAATGAGGGAACTGTTCATTTTTCAGAAGGTGAAACTAGGGGGAGACTTAGAAACGTCTGCAGCCTTAGGCTTGGGTGAGGGTTTACTGGAATGTGGGAATTCATTCCAAGTGTGTTTCCCAGATGCAGCTCTGGTCCCCAGTCTACCCCTGCTTTCCTGTGTAACACCTTGCTGTCCTATGTGCCATTTGAAGCTTTGTAGCCTGTAAGGCTAGAAACAATGATTTAGGGTCACAAAAAAAAGAAGAGAAATGAGCATAATCTACTCTCAATTTCTTGGATCCTCCATAAGAGACTATCAGTAAAGAGGAAGAGGAGGGAATCTTCAGAAATGGGCACTTAGTAGATTGGTGCTAATGGTTTCCTGGGGAAGGAGAGAGGTAAGCAGAAATGGGACACATCGTGAGCCTAAGGGAATCAGGTACTCCTGGATATTAAAAATATAATGACCAAAGGCTGATGCCTCCAAATATGAACTATTTCACCTTTTGGAGATAAGGCATGTTTTAGATAAAGGTATGAAGACAGTGTAAGCATTTTGGACAAAACACTCTTCCTTTGTCACCTCAGACTCTAAATTTGAGCAGAAAGAGATTAAGTGGGTGATGGCAAAAACATCCTGAAAACTTCTCTGTCAAGCATGTCAAGCAGGGCTAAAGATGTTGTGCTGTGATCAATGAAACAGGCCTGTGCTGGGAGTCATGGCACCCTTAGAGCCTCAACTCTTTCTTGCTCAAATCACTCCTTTCTGTGCTTATTTATTTAGCTATACAATAAAAGGGTTAGAATGAGTGTTGCAGTGAGGGCCCCTCTGGCTCTTAAGACTCAAGAGCAAGATGAGGGGCTTCCCTGATGGCGCAGTGGTTGAGAATCTGCCTGCCAATGCAGGGGATACAGGTTCGAGCCCTGGTCTGGGAAGATCCCACATGCCACGGAGCAACTGGGCCCGTGAGCCACAACTACTGAGCCTGCGCGTCTGGAGCCTGTGCTCCGCAACAAGAGAGGCCCGCGACAGTGAGAGGCCCGCGCACCGCGATGAAGAGTGGCCCCCACTTGCCACAACTAGAGAAAGCCCTCGCACAGAAACGAAGACCCAACACAGCCAAAAATAAATAAATAAATTAAAAAAAAAAACAAAAAAAAGGGAATGGATATATAATTAAACAGGTAGGTAGATAGGCACACAAGTACATAGATATGGATATTTCTCCCAAATATTTAAGAAAATATTATTAATAATGTTGTATTATATATATAATATATATACATATATATCACAACCTTCAAATCATGTTGTACACATATGGATTTGTTATGTGGAGTGATTATTTTTTTTTAAATTAGTACAGATTTAATAGTACTCCTATCCAGCATTAAGCAATATCTGTGATCTCTCAATTCTTGATCAAATGTTACATTTTTTAATCGCAACTTTGAAATTTCATTTAGAATCTGAAGTGGCAAATTCACCTCCTTAGTCTTCCTATTTTATGAACTATTCAATTATAAAAAAAAAAAAAAAAAAAAAAAAAAAAAAAAAAAAAAAGAGCAAGATGATTTTCACTTGAGTGTTAACTTGTTTGGGGGGAATGGTGGCACACATTCTGCCACCTAGTGGTCATATTTCAGGGTTTGCCCCACTGCCCAGCTTCTCAGGGATGCTCAATTTGGAGAACTGAGGTTTTATTCCAGGATCCAGATGTCAGCAGCTGCAGCAGAGGAGAGAAGGACAAGTGCTCCCTGCTTAGAGAAGGACTGAGTGGTCACCTGGTTGTCTAGTGAGAGGTTGTCAATCTTGACTCTCAGGATCTCTCTGGGGACATCCATGGGTGCTAAACAAGTTAATATAAGAGGTTTTCTCCTGGTAAACCAGGCAAACTGTACCTGGAAGTGGACAGATTAGGAGAATTATTATTGGAATACTCAGGTGAGGAAAGAAAAGTGATCTGATAAGGTGTTGATGGTAGATCCAAGGTCTCTGGACACTCAGCAGAGTGCAACAGTTAAGAAGTATAGGATGAAGTGTAGCTGAATCTGTAACAGAGCAAGCCTGGCTTTCAGAGTTTGGGGAAGGGCTTTCATTCTCCCAAGTTAGGGTAGGACCCAAGATCTGAACTCTGTGAAACCAGAAGGCAGTCAAGAAAGGTATTCTAGCAGCCAGTGGTCAGTCTATAGAGGGATGTATATGGAACCTCTGTCCATGCGGCCAAGATAGCTTAGATATTTGAACGCTTCAAGACCTTGGACTCCGGGGACAGAGAAAAAGAAATAACCTAAACAGGGGGTGGGTAAGACACCCCCTGGCAAACAGTGGGAGTCCCAATTTGAAATGGTCAGAAATGTGTAGCGTATGCACTTTTAGACGCTAAGTACGAGCAAATGGTCCTCAATAAACAGGGTGGATTTTGCCCGGGAACACTATTATTACCTGTTACATTTTTTCAACCATAAAAAAAAAATTAGGCTCAACTATTTAGAATTTGGGCATGATTTCCATGGGCTGATTTTCTAGCAAAAAGAAAGCTGATTACAATGGCCTGTCATTTGGGGACAAGTTTACTGGTAATCTATAAAGGTTACCTGAAAACCTAAATTATGTTAGGTTTTTATAAGAAGACCCAGTGACTATGCACTGAAAGCTCATCCTAAGAGAGGAAGGTCATTGCTTACCATTTATCAAAAAAAAGTTTTTATTGTTTTTAAAATTTGGAGTGGGGTGGTTGTAGCTTGTAGGTTTCCCCAACTTTGTTTTAAGAAAACTATCAGCCCATTCTCTCAGACCTTCTGGTTTCCATTTCTGACATTCCTACTGTTCTCTAGTTTTCACGAAAATCTGCCAATCTGGTCCAGAAAGTAGTCCTAAGCAACCTACATAAAATGTAAGACTTAGCTTCCTATCCCGGGCAAAGAAAAAGATAGCAATGCTCTGTGCCTAATATCCCTTTACCTGTCACTTACAATACATAATTAAAGTGACTCGTTTAGAGACAGGGAGACACAGCCATCCTAGTCCACTCAGGGACATATCTTGAGGGGAAAAGGAAACTGGAGGGTTTCAGAGTGGGTGGTACTTGACAAAGTAGGGATGTCTGAGTTCTTGCCCCATTGATATTCAATAGATAGGACAACTAGGAACCAATACAAACTGTACAAATACTATGATCTGGGGTGGGGAACAGCTGCCAGGTTTGCCACTTATCTGTATTTTGGAGTCCTGATGTAGTGCTGGAAGAGGAGAGTGAACAGGCAGGTTTACATACCATGGAAATTGGTTTATAGGCCATAAGTGAAAGATAAGGAACCATGATTGATGAATGAATACACTGAGGAGTACCTTTAGAAAAAGTAGAGGTATTTCTATTAATATTTTAGGGTTAACATTAAAATTGGAGTACAAGGATTATAAATTCAGAAAATATTAAATGACCACGAATTGCTCATATTTTACCTATTGATTGAGAATGAAATAAGGAAAATATGTTTTATGAAATCACCACCCTTTCAATATCATGTCTGGTAGCATGGTCTCACTTGAATGATTTGTCAAACAAGTATTATCAGGTCAGTGAAAATATTCTCACAATGGCTGGAAATTTAAGCATCACACAAGCATAAGCTTTCTTTTCACTTCAAATATGAAAATAGAAGGTGTATGGAAATTTACGTATCTTTGACAAGGCTAGAAATAAGCTGTCATTCTCTTATATAATGCTTTGTGCTCTAAATCAATTCCACATCAGGTTGCTTGTAACAGGAATCTGCTAGCATCTTTTCTTGATGTCACCTAAAGTCTGATCACTTGAATATTAACTCAGCCTCCACACCTTAAAAGTAGCCCTAACATACAAGCTTACACGGGTTATTCTTTTTTACTAGTATATCCTTCCTTAGCTGCACCTGGTAAGCCCATCTTCCAAAATGTTAATTATTTAACATTTTGAAAGCACTTACAGAACATTTCATATTCTATATAAGCTCTTCAAAGGGTGAGGGTGTTTCCCTCAAAGGAAAATTGGGGTGCTTACCAAAGGTAGGGGGAAAAGAGGCAGGCATCTGTCTCACTCATCTCTGCTTCTCCACTGTAACCTAGCATTGTACCTGGTACATGGAGACTCTTTAATAAATGTAAAATGAGAGAATTAAATCAGTTGGCTCAGGAGTTAGGACTCTCTCTGTATCTTCAAACTTGTCATTTTTCTTTGGCTCCTACTTATGTTTGACAACTAGACACGTATCTTTTTAAACAGTCATCTCCCTTTTGTGCAGGAGGGGAATTCCACCATTTCAACCTACTGTGTCAGTACAGCTGGATAACCTCATCCCACTCAGAAATGGGCCAGACTCCATTGGGCTGTACATTGTGGGGAGAGCGTTTCCAGTCCCATGTCCTCACAGGAACCTTCCAGGTCTTACCATAGTTGGCTTCGATGTACTCGATGGTTTCACAGGGCACACGAACCTTCATGTCTACAAACTCGGTCCAGCACAGTGTAAACTTGGGAAACAGGTATCTGTGGCAAAACAGGCAATGTGGAGAGGCGTTAGGCTCCAACAGCAGAAGTTTTAGCTAAAGAACCCACAACTAGTGTACTCTTGGCTAAAGGACAGTCCTCTTCCACTAAATAGCTTTGGGGATAGACACAGGGGACCTTTTGCTGTTTCTGACTGTCCAGTATCTCTTTCTTCTTCTAATGGCAATAGCACCCCAATTTATCTCCCCTATTCCCAGTCTATATGGGTCAGGAGGGGCTGACCTGACCCCTAGGCCCCAGAGATGGGTAAAAAAGACTCAGGCCTAACTAGAAAATTATAGTGATTGGGTCACAGGGATGGAAATTTACACAAATTAGGCAAATGAAAATCAGCCTTAGAATTTCTTTTGGAACTATCAGGGGAAGAAGTGTTCTTCTGCTGAGGTTTCTAAGCTGTAGGATGGAAACTGAGCACTGCTAGTGGCCATCTTTGCTGTTAGCAGGGACAGCCGGTCTGAGAATGAAGTCAAAGCAAAAAGTTGTCAAAAGATGGAGGAAAATGATCGAGGTCAGAAAACCCTGGGGAAGTGCTTGGATTTGGTTGTGGCCATTCCTTAAATACTGATAAATATATAAGTATTCTTTTTGACTACATTTCTAATAACTTGGAATTCGTAGTACATGGAGGGAGGCACGTAGCAGTGAGAGAGGAAACAAAACCCTCCTAGTTAGCCAGAGAACCTGAATCAATCCTGGCAATGTATGACATTCTCCAGCAATAGCATCATAAATGCTTGTGTGTTTGTGAGAGCACATGTTAATTCCTGTCTCCTGGGTTTCACTGTGGTCCCAGATGGCTTTTGATGACCTTAGATAGCTGAAGGAGAAATTCCCAGGATCAGTCAGGATATTTCTCAAACTCCTTTCCTAACTGCACAGTAATAAGAATTGCATACCACAATACGTGAACATGGTACGACCCACTATATGTTGGCTTTTTGAGCAAAGCTTCACACCCCACCCCCTCCTCAGATGCAGGAATAGAGACCTAACACTTGGATCTACTCTACTTCAACAACACTCCTCTTAAAGGAAACAGTTATACAAACCACCTTCTTCCTGCTCTGCCTTTTATTTTATCACCTCCCCTTTTTAATTTCTGTTCTCAGCCTCAAACTTACTTCTTTCTTGCTTATTTTTAATAGGTTACACATCATTAAATCTCCATCAAATCCAAACTGCTACTAAAAGAACCTAACTAAAGAAAACCAAAATAAGCATCACATGTGTAAGGTGAATCTTCTTTTCCTTCACAGCATGGATTTTCCGGGGAAACAGAGCAAGCACAACTTCAAGATGCTCTCCCAGGCTCCTCCCTTGCTTCCATCCCTCACGTGAACCCACCTTTTTTTTTTTTTTTTTTTTTTGC